AGTCGTTATCATAGTATTTCCATTTTTATCTAGAAGAGTTGTGTTGTGGTTTCTTTTTGCAGCCTTGCCATTTATTTGACGTTTTTATGTATGTTGAATTCGTCGTCCCCATAGTAAGTTTGTTTTGTCTCTCTTATCTTTTTCCTGATTTCATTGTTAATGATTTTGTAATTGTGATTGTTTTTGTTCTTGGCTTGTCTTCATTGTTCCAACATGCCGAGTATCTCGTCGGTCATCCAATTGTCTTTCTTTCGTGTCGGTTCTTTTAATATCTCTTTGCATGGAGCGAGGAGGCAGTTTTTTAGTGTTTCCCATTGTTCGTTTATCTCGTAAGTGTTAGTATCTAATTTATCAAAGTTTTCTTATATTTTTTGCTGAAGTTTGATTTTTATATCATCTTCTTTCAGTTTTCTAATATCTAATTTTGGAGTTCTTTGTGGTTTTCTAATACGCTTAAGCTTAAGCGTGACATTAGCGATTGACCTGATATTGTGGAGAATCATTTTTAAAATTTTAGAGTATATACTAAAAGTTTGTGGAATTACGAGGTTTGTCCCAATTAAACCAATATAAATTTGGAGTTAAGAGGTTAAAAGCACACAATCATTATAAAACAGATTTATTGCAAAATGACATTTTAGTTCACTGCTTAATTGAAAATTACAAAAATATTACTTATTTTCAATACAACTCTAATATAATTAGTAAGTACATAATAACATTTTTCAAATGTGTTTGAGATTATCATAAAATGAGTAATACATCACTCGGCATAGTAGTTTTTAAAATTTGTAAATGTTCAAACTTTTAATTTTTAACGATTTTAGATAAAGCAGTGGTATTTCTTCAAGTGGTACTCCTAAAACTACTTTTTTGTTTCCTCTGGCTGAAAGAACCTGTTATTGCTAAGAATGTCTGAGTTTAAACTGAATGGTTCCATCTGGATTGTATTGTAGAGCACGCAAATCTGTTACAGTAGGATCGCCTGTCCAGGTCTAACAGTTGATCAGTATTGACTGCTAAAATTTCGAAAAAATGTATAGGTTAAGTATTTTGTTTCATAAAGTTTTCGAGCATTTTGGATCAATTCTATGTATTGCGCAGGCACATTTATAATTTTGTTTTTTAACTGTCTTTCTATACATGAGTGCATATCATCAGCTTCCATTTGTGTGTGCCCACGTTCGAGATATTTTTGAACCACAGGCACTTTGTTATATACAGAGAAGTTCAACGAAGCACTCGACAATATTGCATTGCGATTTTGCCCGGTGCACCCGTCACTGTAAAAAATCAACTTCTCTCCAGGCTGAATGGACGACAATTGATTAGCTGCAAAATGACAAATTATAGTTGTAAATTAATGTGCCCCAACACCCCCTTCAACTTCACTTTAGTAAACACTTTATTGTTGGCACTAATTTTGTCATTTGACTTCTCTTCTCTGCTTTCTTCTTTTTTTAATGTGTACAATTTATACTTCACTTCTGTAGCATTGCCTACTCTTTTAGCCATACAAAAATCACAGTCATCTTTCTTTCTCTTGAATAAACTCAAATTCATATCCTTAGAGTAAAGTTCATAAAGTTTTTGTTTTGACTGCCACTGTGGTTCAAGATACAATCTCTGATATGTAGATAATGGGATTCCATTTTGGCAAACTTTCAAAAAATAACGTTAACGAATTTATTCTTTCCGAATCTAACCGTTTCCTTTAGCTAACCTTTGATTGAGCTTTTAAGGCTGCAGGACCATCTTCATCAGCAGTCACATTCACACTTGTGGCGTTCTGACGTTCTTGTGGTTTACAATTTTCCAAGAGCGTATGGTCCATTCTCCTATGCTTAGTATATTTTTTTGGAACATTTTTTTGCAAACTTTAATTTGATCGTTTTTTTTTCTTAAATAATAAGTAAAACTATTACTTCTTCTAGATTTATTTTGTTTTTTAGGTCTCGTTTTCTTTGAGGTGTATAAGATTTTACTTTTAGATCTACAAAATAAAATTTTTCCTCCCAGCTCAATTTACAAAAATTCGTGAAAGCCAACTTTTTGTCTTCATCCGATGGTAGATGGCATTGCATCTAAGATTTTTTTAGGATGTTTTGATTTCTGGCTTATATCTTACAAGAACACGTCTGTTTTAATATTATTTGTCTTTTTCGAATATTATATTCCCATTTTCCAGCAGTACACTTTTTACCTTTGTAAGCAATATTTAGCTCTCTGTGTTCCTCTTTTGCTCTCTTTTCCAAGCTTCTACTTTAATATGTCTTCTCTTTTTTTGCTCTTTCGTGAAGTTTCTGCTTATGGTTTTTAGACGAATTGTAGTCTGAATCTCCATTTTCTGAAATATCTTCTCAGAGTAAACATTGAACAGCAAATGTGATAGGACACATGCCTGTCTTACTCCCTTCTCGATATTGATTTTTCCAGATGTTCCGCTTTTTATTCTGATTTTAGCCTTTTGTTCTTGGTAGAGGTTTGAAATGATCCTTAAGTCTTTATCGTCGATATTACATGACCTTAAAATATCTATTAGTTTATCATGTTTCACCAGGTCAAACGCCTTCTGAAAGTCAACACAAGTATACATCAGAATCGACATCTCTACATCTTTCAACTAGCACACGTATTGAAAAAAGTGCTTCTCTTTTTCAGAACCCATTCTTAAAACCAAACTGAGTTTGACCAGTGTGTTCGTCTAGTTTATTGTATACTCTATTGTGTTTTCTCGTAGGAAAAGCTTCAACATATGATTTATCAGGCTAGTAATCTTATGGTCTTCACATTTCTTGGAGTTTCTCTTCTTTGGTAGTAGTATAAACACCGATGTCAGCCAATCATTTAGCCAATCTCTATATTTGTTTTGTACTTTGTGTAAGCCTGTCGTTTCTCTTTAGATTTCTCTTTTATTTCTTTTTTGAACCATGTTGTATTGTTTTTGTTTCTTTTGATCAGTTGTTCAGTATGACCCTGCGTTTTCCTAGAGCTTCTGTTGCTGCTTCTTCAATGTTGTTTTTAATTTTCTCCCAGCTCGCGTTTATATCTTTCGGCTGTATATTCTGTAATAACCTCCCCAGATACATTTCACTTGTAGAGATGTTCCACAGTGATTCTATCACTGAATTTTTCCTCGGTAATTTCCTGTAGAAAACCGTTTGGTGTTATTTTCATTCTTATTTTTGCTAAAACTATAATTATAGTTATAATTATAATTATAGTTTGTATTCACTTCCTGCGTCTGCTGGGTTTAAAGTTCGGATACCTAGAATCTACTTCATCAGCATATCGCAGGTTATTTATACATTGCCCGTTTATAATTATACCATCCGATGTGCCTTCCAAAGCTTTCTGAAATATCTTCTCAGAGTAAACATTGAACAGCAAATGTGATAGGACACATCCTGTCTTACTCCCTTCTCGATATTGATTTTTCCAGATGTTCCGCTTTTTATTCTGATTTTAGCCTTTTGTTCTTGGTAGAGGTTTGAAATGATCCTTAAGTCTTTATCGTCGATATTACATGACCTTAAAATATCTATTAGTTTATCATGTTTCACCAGGTCAAAACGCCTTCTGAAAGTCAACACAAGTATACATCAGAATCGACATCTCTACATCTTTCAACTAGCAAACGTATTGAAAAAAGTGCTTCTCTTTTTCAGAACCCATTCTTAAAACCAAACTGAGTTTGACCAGTGTGTTCGTCTAGTTTATTGTATACTCTATTGTGTTTTTACTCGTAGGAAAAGCTTTTAACATATGATTCATCAGGCTAGTAATTTTATGGTCTTCACATTTCTTGGAGTTTCTCTTCTTTGGTAGTAGTATAAACACCGATGTCACCCAATCATTTGGTATTATGCCTGTTTCGTATATTTTGATAAATATATCTTCCATTACTTCGATGTGTACGTCTAGTAATATCTTTATTATTTCAATTGGGATATTATCTTCCCCAACAGCTTTTCCGTTCTTTAACTGATTTGGGCTTTTTCGCTTTTTCCGGGCTTTTTCGCTTATATTTAATTTCTAGATTTAGATGGAGTTACAGGATTTGATCAAAAGACAGATAAATTAATTTACAAACAGATGGTGCATATATTCTCAAATTGAGTAAAAATGGAGTTACTCCATGTTTACTCAATTTTTACAAATTGAGTAAAAATGGAGTTTTGCTAATTAGGGTAATGATATTCTAGAGCGTAATAATTGATATCGCGTTTTTATTGTTTAACTACTAACAACTCAATAATTACTAACAACTTATAATGTACGTTATGACTCGTCCGTGTTAAAATATACAAAACAGTTTCGTTATTCAAGTATTATGTTTATGAAAGCAACAGCCAGGTCCATAAGGTACGACCGGTATCATTATTAAACGTTTTTTGTTAATTCTGCTGTGCTCTAAATCTCCTTAGACCTTTTGTGTTTATGTAATTTATGTTCATTTCATCTCTTATTGTTTAGTCTATTCTCGAAAACATTAACATTTGCAAGTATAGAAAATAAAAAGCAAGAAGAATAATGAGTTTTAAAGAATAGTGTAGCAAATTTATAAATTAAATTTTGTTTAATTCGACATATATCCTTGACCAAAATAAGATATTAATACTTCAACAGTTTTGATTAATGCCTTGTTCACATTTATTCCAGTCCTGTGTTAGCCTGGATTATCGTCTAATATTATTACAATCTAAACAAACTGTAAGATCGGAGCAATAAAACAGGTTGACTGTTCAACTCATAACTAAATACTGGAATGGCCGTTGACACTATTCCATTGGCGCTGGAATTGACGAAAAATAGACCGTCATTCCAGTCAACTGGACTGGATTGATCACTAGAATGGTACATTCCCGTGCAGGTAGAATGCTGGATTAGCATGCAACTGGAATAATGTGAACCGGGCATAAAATTAAAACATTTCTCAAATATACAATATTTATAGATTTTTCTACGTATTCAGCTTAAATACATTTTGGTATACTTACAAACACAACTCAACCCTTTCTTTCCTAAACCAACCAACATGTTAAGACAAAGGTTGCAGTAAGCTGGTCTACTGAAATGCTTTAGCCGCCACAAATGGTTGCCGTCTTCTTTCACATTGGCGTCCAATCCCAACAAAACTAGAAGAGGTATTGTTGTAAGTCCTCCTCGTTTCCATTCTTCCAAGGACACCGTACCATCTGCGTCGTAATCTATTTCTACCATCATATCTTGAAGAATCTGTAACAGTAATAGAATATGAGCCAACTTCACCAAAGAAAATGTAGAAAATATTCAACTATATAGTATAATCTATTATTAAAAGCTCAAATACCTACAGTAAAATCTTCGAATAGCGACCACCCTCTGAGAATCGAAAACGGGTTGCTAAAGAGAAGCATTTTAAGAGGGAACATTAAGAGAGACTAACCCGAATAGTAAAATATTGAAGATAATAGGGAGATCCTTTAAAGGATGGCGAGATAACTGGAAGTCTACGTAACAAATAAGACTACAGCAGAAGATAAGAATTTTATTTTTTTTGACTTCTTATCTTCTCATTTTAGTTCTTATAATCCTTTTATTTCTTATCTAAAAATTTCTCTTTTAGAGCTTTTCTATATGTTTCTTTCAGTTTCCATATGAGATTTTGTGTGTATATGATTGTAAACAATAGAGTATTAAGCACACGCAAATACTTAAAAATGTAGATAAAGTATATCATACAAATTTATTATTACGTATTATTGCTTGGGACTCAAAAAATATTTGTGATACATTTTCTTTTTTCTTTTTTTTTTCTTTCATTATAATCGAAATGGAGTAAGTATTCTCCATTGGCCTATTAAACACTAAATATTAGTCTCTTGTTTATAACTATTTGCAACACAATGCCTGTTGGCCCGAAGCTCATAACTGCAACATATATTTCAGAGCACGTTTGTATAATACTCTCCCATAATGGGCTTTTGTACAAAACAGAATAATAGTGTATTACTGAAAACTTCGATCTCATTCGGGGAATTGTTCAGTCGAAATGCGTTTAGTTGGGGTATCGGTAACTGTAAAGTCAGTGATTGTCTGCAGATACGTATAGGGACTGTCTGGAGATATATCCGTAGAGACTGTTTATAATAAAAAAACAACAGAGCCCCAGGAAAAGACGGCTTTGTAATTAATAGTCTTAAGGAATGAGGGAAAAATGAATTTACGCTTCCAAAGTCCATTTAATATATGGTTAGCAGGAATTATCCCAAGTTATGCAACAAGAACATCACGATATTCATGCATAAAAAAGACAACCCCACAGATCTTAAAAACTACCGCCCAATCAGTCTTCTCTCCGACACGTTCACATTATTCTAAAGATACTAACAAGACGATTATTTCCCAAACTGGATTTATATCAACTTAAAGGAGGGCAAGGCAAACGGGCCGGACCTAACAGTAGAGTTCCTTAAACTCATTGTTGAAGAAAACAGTAAATTTTTAGTTAACTTTTTCAATTCATAATCCTGGATGAATGTTTGTCTGTCTGGCTATGTCCTTCCAAGATCTTTCTTGGGCCCTTCTCGTGGTGGGAACACGTCCCACCATGACAAGCTTTGACTTTTCACAAATCTTACAATGTCATACCCTTCATTTAGTTTATTAACCCCGTCGTTTATTCTGATTTTCCATGTGCCGCCTTGCTCTTGCAACGGAAAATATACTTTTCTCAGTATCCTTCTTTCGAAAGTCCTGAGTTGGACTTCCTATTTTTTCCTGTCTAATCAAAGTTTTGTAGATAGTAATTTTGGTTCTTTTGTCTAATAATTTCGATGTCACCAATCTGTTATTAGCATCGTATGTACGATTTCAAGTGAAAATACTTGCATTAATTTCGCTACTTACGGAATTCTTCTGACTGATTTCTGTACGCAGATATGTTAAGGCATCCACACGTTCAATAGTATAGTTGTCTATTGCTATATTATTTTCATTCTCAGGTGTTCATTTAATGGTCACGTACTTAGTTCTTGTTTTGTTTATTTTAAGCCCTCTTTTTTGTGCTTCAGGATTAATTTCCTTGAACGTTTCCATTAGTCGTGTATTGCTTTTACTAATAGTGGCGACATCGTCTGCATATGCAGTAATTTAAACTGTTTTAGTGTTAATATGGCCAGTTACATTGGTTTTTCTAATGACTGCTTCAGGAACTAGGTTAAACAGCATGGCTGAAAGTGCGTCTCCCTCTCTCACCCCCATGTTGATGTCAAACAGGGGAGACAGTTCTCCATCTGCTCTAACTGCGACTTTTGAACCCTGCAACGTCATTTTTATGAGCCTGATATATTTTTTTGGTATACTTAGATTTCGGAAGTATTCCAGCATTTTGTCTCTTTCTACACTATCAAAAGTTTGTTTAGGTCTATATACATATTATATATATATATATATATAATATATATATATATAATATATATATATATATATATATATATATATAAATTATATTTTTGGAGTATTCTGACAATCTAGTGTAGATAATGCCAGAAAGGATACTGTATATTACATTTAGCAATATAATTGGTCTGTAATCTTTTTTATATACTGGCTGTATAAAAAAAGACCAACTGTCCAGCATTTGCTTCTTGGTCCATGCCAACTTTATCAGGTAATGGATTCTTCCCCAGAGTTTAGGTCCCCCATATTTCAACAATTCTGTCGAAACTCCTTCAATTCCTGGGGCTTTACTGTTTTTAGTTTCTTCATTATTTGAAATAATTCTTCATACTCGGAATTTCAATGTGCTGCTCCGCTGTCTCGTTTTCCCTACAAACCTAGAAACCTACAAACCAAACATAAACTTAGAAAAAGAAATGAGTTGTGTTCAGTGTTCAAAAAAGCAAGCACATCCCTCACATTAACCAGCCAGTTACATAAATAAATATCCCTTTTCACTTTTGTGCCTGTGTTTTGATTTCGTTCTTAATTTCTAATAAAAAATATAAATGTTCAAATACTGTTTTTGTTATAACTATAACCTGTTACTAGGCTAGTACTAAAATTGGTAAGTATTATTGGGGGTTAGGTTGAGGGGGCGTCGCAAAAAATAGCAAAGACCCCAAGGGCGTCACAGTAAGAATAAGTTTGGGAAGTCCTGAGGTAAACTTTTTACCACCACTGTATGGGGTGTTATATTCAACAAAAGCGTTGGTAAATAATTACAGTCCACAAAGGGGATTGAGATAATTCTATTTGTATCAACAAATTGGGACTTTAACCCCAATTTGTCCAGTTTGCATCTTTGGAAAGTTGATGTTAGCGCCGCATGTTCAAAGCTTCAGGACGAAGGGAAGAAGGTCTTTGGAAGAAGAAAAAAGATCAACCACTTACTAGTTATAAAAACATTTACTAGAAAAAAGAGTCGAATACAACTAATGAACAACTGCCCTTAAAAGTTGTGAACTACTCGGTAAACAAAGACGTACTCTCTGGCTACTCTACAATAACTAGCTGATTGCCAGCTGATTGTAGAGTAGCCGTGCTAGCTGAGTAGCTGTGCTACCTGATTGCAGAGTAACCAGAGATATGTAGCATTAACTAAAAATAGGTATAAAAGTGCAAGATCATGTGTGAAACTTCACACTATTTAAAATAAAACGCCAAGTACAGCAAGGTGATAACATCTTCCTAAAACTCATTTAAATGGTGCTAGAATATATGTTTAAGACACTGAAGGACTTGAGAGAATATGGTAATCAACATCGTTGGTAAAAGATTAAAACATTTAAGCTACGCTGACAATCTCGTACTTATCAAGATTTAAGTCATATGGCTTTAATCTGGATAATATCAAATAATTATTTGTTATTAGAGGCAAATAATAGTTCGTCAAAACAAAATTAAATTAAGTTTGTCATATAAATATTTCATGTTTACTTACTGGTTTAAGTTCTGAAATATCCCAACCAAGATATTCAGCTACCGTCATCATTTGATTAACGATACAATCCATTTCATTCTTATCTAAAACACCATCTCCGTTGGTGTCGTATAATCGAAACATAACTGAAACAAAAGATACATATTTTAAATAAACGTATCCCACTGTTTTATATATAAATATATTTATTAACAAATGTTTTGAACACTACCAAAATGTTACGAAATAATTCTTTTATATTGTACGCACAGAAATATGAAAGTTTTCTTTTTCTTGCATTCAGCGTCTCATTCTTGTGGAGATTGCTGATCAACATGGCTGTTTGCACTTTCGATACTGTTGCACGGAATAATTTTACCGATGTCATTACGAACCATTCACGAAGATCTGGCAGCCAAAAAATTCTTCTACCTCTTACGCTTTATCGTCCATCTATATTCCTTTGGACTATGAGCCGTAGAAACTACTTTATAGTAAATATTGCAATTACTATTATATTACACAAAAAGGGTGATCCAATTGATTTTGAGAATTACCTACCCATAAGCTTGTTAAACCACTTTTATAAGTTATTCAGAATGATAATAACAAATATACTGGAAACAAAATTAATTTAGCAGTACTGTTCACACACAGTGTATCTACGACTAACTCTTGAAGTAACCTCATTGTAATACTACTTGTTCCAAACACTTCTTCTCGTTCTCGTTCGAGCTATGTTCTTTGTTAATATCCTTTTATATTCAGTATATTACTAGTTCTTTATGTAATCTGGCCCTCAGATGGCTAATTTTGTTATTTGATTGACAAAAGATTTTTTATTTTTCTGTTTAATCTATTTTTTTTGTGTTTTTTCTTTTACTTTCATCTTAGTCCAATGAGTAGCTAGGGAACAGTATGTCCACTCCTGCAAAGCCCTGGATGCAGAAGCAAGACTGGTCTTAGCGAGATTTGACAGAGATATCTTCGAGCTTAGCTTCCGGTTTTTGGTAGTGTGTGACATTTCGTGCTGTTTTGCTCCTGGTGCAGCGGTACATACTCAATTCAGTTCTTCTTGCATACTGGGTCCTCCATGCAGAAGCAATTCTGGTCTTAAGCGAGATTTAGCTGGTATCCCAAGGTAAATGTTTGCGACCACGTGTCGTGTGGTCATGCAGCTCTAGACATGATGTCTTCCAGCTGTTTTGTGCAGCGGTACTTACTCACTTAAGTTTGTCTAGCATACTGGGTCCTTCATTCATACCTTCTAAATAAAAAAATACGGGTTGGGAAGAATCTGTTTGGGTATTTTCATTTTATTTTCTAGGTATTATACTTTGAGATTCTAAACTTTAGGCGTAGTAAAAATGTCTAGTCATACATGTTATTCTGTGTAAGCAGCTGAAGTATCCATCTAAGACGTCCATAATCTAATATAATAAGGATTTTTGTTGATGCTTGTTATATATGAAATTATCTATTATTTACTAGTTCTTATTTTATTTTCAAGATGAGGAGAGATATTGGCAGTTGCCACTCAAAATAACCGTTCAGTAACTCATTTTCTCTTGACACCTAAAGTCGAAATAATTTGGAAAAGTTTGTGTCGTTTCAAACATATCAGGAAACAACTATTGGGAAATACTTCCTAATTCTGCTGCTCGAACAACTTCGAAAGTTTCATTTAGAAAATTAGGTCGCAAAAACAAAATAAACTGATAGGAAAAAGTTTGGTATCGTTGTGCGAACTAGTTTTAACAACTTTTTCTAAGAAAAATAATCAAAATATAGGTAAAATTATAGATGACAGAAAGTTTTAATTTTAAAATTGATTAGATTTCGCATATAATTTTTTATTCGAGTTGGTTATTTCGACCGATTTAACATTAGTTTTAGTAATAAGACACTTTTCCGCTACCACAATATATAAATGGACTACGCTGATGATTTAGTTTTTATTATAATAAGAAAGAAAGGAGTCTGTAATATTTTTATCCTTATACCTAAATACACATTTCAAGCCATGTTTTAATGGGACAAAATTAGGGTAGAAGTTACTGTTTTAATGGGAATAAGCCACAATAAAAACGACTTCCGAAGTGGAAATTGAAACTTCAATAGACTTATTTTTAACTTTAATTGTGGCTTGTTCTCATTAAAACCGTAATTATTATAAGATGCCACAAGAAAATAGCTTCAGAACGATGTTTTCTTAGGTCATATTAATATCCTCTTAATAGACATGTCTTGTCTAATCGTCTCTCACCAGATTTTTTTTGGTGGGAAAAGATTATCCAACAACAACTTTCCGTTCTGCAAATAGCAAATCATTAAATATAGGGTAAGTCCGGGAGAGACGGGCCACTTTTTTTCTCAAACAGATTACTTGAAAAATTGACTAGTGTATGATACGATTTTTGGAAAATAATACTTATTATAGTTTATATATTTATTGTGCAAAATAAAAAACGTGTAACTTAAGCAATATAAAAGTTAAAGAAATTAACATAAATACTTCTTATTGGCCCATCTATACCAACACATAGGTACAGATGGGCCATTGCTAGTGGTAGAGTTGGGCCAATTTGAAACACATAAAATAATGATGTTAACCTATTTCTTTTTACTAGCAATTTTTCCACACGAATCACAAACATTTTCAAATTTTGTACAGTTGTCATGGCACCAGTGTTTGCAAATCAAACATTGAACCCAGTCATCTTTTCTGGATGTTTTGCTGTAATCTTCACCACAACCAATGCACTCATTTTCATTAAATTCGTCTTCGTCTTCGCTGTCATCTAAAACTGGCACATCTGCATTCATATCATCATCAGACGAATCTAACTCATACTTTTTACATTGACGCCTTTTGTTTTGCTGCTTTGAAACTGTCTTCTTTTTTGATTCTTGTTTCTTTATCTTCTTTTCTTGAATTTTGTCTGCAGAATTAAGAATTTCCGCCACTCTTCTTGCTCGGCCCCTTACATTCTTTTTTGCAGCATCAATTTTGGGTACAGGCGATAACGTGTCCAATACTTTTCCAGGTGTTACACTTGAGTCTTCAACATTAGACGTACTAGCTGCAGTTTCTTCATCAACGACTAGAGTAATGCCTGCAAGTGAAGGACCTGGTTGATCTAAAATATTTAGATCTATTGCTGTATTACTTTGTTCTTCTACTATAGCTGAGGAGCTACTCATTTGTGGACAAAAAAGCGTGCTCTGGAATTTTATCAGGATCAAACGGTACAATTCCTGTGGCAACAAATCCAGAGGTTCCATTTTTCACCGTTGCTGAGATTTTCCACGCATTTCCTAACAACTCACCAAACTGATAACGTGTAATTTTTCTTGTTGGGTTATTTCTGATATAGTTTTGACATCTCGAGTAAAAATTAGCCTTTAAAGATTTGAAAAAAGCTCGGTCCAACGGCTGCAGAAAATGCGTGGTATGACTGGGTAAGCACAACATTAAAATTTCGTTGTTTTCGGCGCATTCTAATACTTCCACTGCTGCTGTATGGGACGTATGTCCATCTAATATCAGCAAAACTTTGCCCTGAGGCTTTCGAGGAATAAACAGATTTTTTAGCCAATGTAAAAAAATATCTGCATTTACGTAGGCCGATTTTTCGGACATTACAAACATTGCTCCAGGTGGCATTCCATTCGCGTATTCTTCTTTTCTATTTTTTCCTTTAAAAATAGAATACGGAGGTAAAAATACGCCCTCAGCATTGCAGCAGCTTATCACAGAAATCGTTTCTCCTTTCTCTCCTGATGTAATAACAGGGACATTCTTGGATCCTTTAGACGCGAGTACATGTCCAGGCCTGTTATTTAACTGCAAACCTGTCTCGTCTACGTTGAAAATATGCCCGGCTTATTTATTAGTTGACTATTAGTTAAAATACTTAGCAGCAGATCGAAGTACTGTGTAACTACCTCGTGGTTTAATCCTTTTGCCCTGTCCAAAGAAACTCCTTCACCTTTTCGCACTGATATATCTGGATGGCGACGTAAAAAAGACTGCAACCAGTCAAAACCAGCTTTATTGTTGTTTTTATTGAATTTGTGACTTACATTAAATTTTTCTGCTAACTCAAAGCGCCACAGTTCGTACATGGTCACGAGTGGGTGCAAAACCATACTTTTGCAATTTCTTAATATGCAGCACTAATTTCATCTCGATCTCATCGCCAAGAGTTGAAGAAGGTCCAAGACGATTGTGTTTTTTTAGATCATTATTTTTCATTCTTCTCTGTATGCTACTTCGAGGTATGCCATAAGCTAATGCAGCTCGATTTAGTCCCATGCGATTTTCTCTGATAGCTGCAACTGCATTTTGTAGTGCTTCTTCGCTCCATTTACGTCTTTCAACAGTAGATTTCCGCTTATAATATGAAAGCATATGGTAACCTGTAACAATATAGAAATTAATTAATAAAACATATTATTAAAAAATATTGTTGAATAATACAAACCCAATAGTTATTATTAGCCCATCTATACCGATACACTGTGGCCCATCTATCCTAAAGGTTCGGTAGAGATGGGCCACGCCATCGAACACACAGTTTAAATTTTATAAGGGTATTTTAGGTTAGGTTCAGTTGTTTAATCTCAATATAACAGTTGAATACATAATTAATAAAAAAAAAACTTACCTTTTGTCAAAACTTACACAACTTGAAAATTCATCAAGGAAAAATTTCACCAACAAAATATAATTAAGTAAAAAAATCTCTCTTGTTTATGCATACACGTCGCAATGACCACGTTCACAAGGTCTGTCGTTGACTAAATCAACCGTTGATTATCAACGTTGATTATCAACGTTGTCGTACTGCACAATAAACAGAGGATCTGCAATATGACGAATGACCCGTCTATACCGATGGCCCATCTCTCCCGGACTTACCCTAATTTATTTGTGAGACTTTAAAGAGGTAAAGTATGTTTTTTTAATTTATATTGTTGCAAAGGCTAAGGTGGCCTTCTCTCTAAAGCTGGCCATGAAAATAAGAGAAATATTCTGTTAAAGAAGATGATCTATCTTGTAATATGAAATCTTTGTTGCAATTTCTAAAAAAAATTTAAACTTTATATTTAGCGGTAAAACCCAGTGCAGACTTTATAAAATATAGCCATTATATTATAGAAGTATATTAGACAAGCTTTAACTGACGCTTTTGCAAGTTTAATTTCGATCAATTACTACTGTATAATTAACGCTCAAGATTGAAAAAAGGTACTTTATTAAAATGACCATATTTTTTGTAAAAATGCTTGTATAATCATTTTTAAAATTTTATTTAAAAATCCTGAAAGGTATACAGGGTGATCCTTAAGTAATTGTACAAAAAGAAACCGTATATTCTACACTTTAAAATATTACGATTTAAGTCAGGTTCCTTTAATAAAATGTTGATATTAAGAAAGATATAGGGTATTAAAGTGGAAATTTAAAATTTTAATTTTCGCTATAACTTTCATATTTGTGGACATTTATGTATAAAAATTTATAACTGGGTACTATTGTACATCAGAAATTATAATTTAATGCATACTTTAATGTGGCTGATAGAGGGCGCCACATATGCTACATATGGGGCATAAATTTGCACTTAACTTTTTTGCTCTTTAAGTTTGTGTTTGTGATAAAAAATATTAAAGATACATTATTTTAACAAAAAAAGGTATAATTATTAATACCTTCAAAACTAAGCAGTTTTCGAGATAATTACATTTTACAAATCAACTACATAACTCTGATTTAACGCAATTACTCCAGGCAACGAAAGAAAATTAGACAAAAACATCAATACTTCTGAATTTTGGTATAAAATGCCTTATATATTTTGGTATATACAGTAAAACCTCCCTTAACCGAAACCTTTTTAACCGAATCATCGTTTAACCGAAACGGCTGACGGTTTCAATAATTTCGTCAATAAAAAGTAAATTTTTATCGCAAAATGTAAATTCCATCAATTTCACTCACCGATTAATGCGTATCTGTTTTGAAAAATTAAAAAACCAAGAGCTCTAATAGATATTTGAGAAAAACACTTTCAGTTTTTTATAGATGCCAAAAAAGCTCATGGATGTCGACCACTTTATGTTCAGAATGGTTCGAAAATGAATTCGTCCCAAGCGTAAAATCCTTTTTAAAATAAAAAAACCTTCCCATCAAAGCATTGTTGCTTGTTGACTCAAAATCTATATAATAGTGATAATTGTCACATTTTTGTCACCGAATGTCACGAGCTTAATTCAGCTGTTAGACCAGGGACTAATAGAGACATTCGAGTGACATTATAGAGGAGCATTCTTAAGACATCTATTATTACAGGAGCAAATGAATCCAAAAGTGTTTCTGAAATCCTCAAATGTTTAACAATGAAACATGTTGTTTATCGGTGTGCTGAGTTCTGGGCCAAGATCAAATCTTCAACTTTGGAAAAATTCTGGAACTAACTTTTTGATAGGATTTTGATTGACGATCTTGAAGAAGAAAATGGCAAAGAAACGACAGAAGAAATTAAATCTTTAATACAAAATTTGCCGGGATGTGACCAAATTAAATAAGAAGAGATAGGTGAGTGGTTAGCAGCCGATGATTTAGAAAGTGAATTCATCGACCAGGACATCATTGATATGGTTCCTCATCCAGACAACCTGAGCGTATCTGACGACGAAGATGACGACCCAACAAACAATAGGCAGCATGAGACTGCCGACGAGATTTTCAATGCTTTAAGGAGAACAATTTTATACAGTAAGCTTAATATGTTAGGGAGACGACTAGGTTCTTAATTTTTGTTATTATTGTATAAAGTTTTGTTCTTTTCAGATTGCTTTACGTTTCGTCGAATGATGAAATGAGGCAAACTCAGGACGTTCTGCAAATGAACGATGGAGATATATAGCTGCAAAACATCGTTGTCAAACGATAACGTAAAAGAAAATAGAAGATTTCTTTAAAAAACTTGTTAAACTTGTCCATTTTCCTTAATTGTATTACTTTATTCTGTATTTTCTTATTAAAAAACATTACAAAATCACCTCATAGTAATATTTAATAACAATACTTTAACCAATAATACTATAAAAAACAATGATATTTTTAATCGAAATTCTTGTTATCCGAAACGGCCTCCCCCCCAATTGTTTCGGTTAACGGAGGTTTTACTGTAATGCCAATTACGAAAAAATGATTGTAGTGTCTGATTTTCTAATTAAAACTACTAAAAGAGTAACAAAACATGAAAACAAATCAACTTTAACATATTCCATATCTTTTCACAGTGATATGTAATGAAAATATATTCTGGTCCATGTACATATATAAACTGACACTTTATAGTCTGTATCCTAATTTAATAAAAATGTCTATAATGAAACATAATTTTTAGCATAATAATCCATTGCATTAGCTGCCAAATACTGATTTTTTTCTATCTACATTATTATTGGTACTTTATAAAAAACTGATGAATACTTATTTTTCTTCTTCCATAACTGATATACAATGACGTCAAACATGTTATATAATAAAAACGAAGCACTGTCCTATTGTAGGAAAAGATAAAATGTTTTCACATTTTCTTGCAAAAAATATCGTCAGATGGAGTTTTACTTACATTCTAATTTGTCCTCTGGTCGCCCCGCTTCCAGCAGTGACAGATAACAAACGATGTCTTTCAAAGATACCTTCACTTGATTCACATCCAGCATGCTTGCCTTCCTCACGATGTGTCTCATTTCTACAACAAAAAAGGAAAAATAAATTTTGTGTATTTGGTTATTTCACGGCAATAAACACAGAAACGGTTTTTTTGATAGGTCTTTTGTTACCCACACACATATACACATTTACATAATACAGCGTGTTCTATTAAGAATCGTACATAAAATAACCAAGGATTCTAACAATAACTGTTTAGGTAAGAAGTTGCTTTTTACTAAGGAACAGCGTGTTACAATTGAAAATTTAAAAACATAATATGGACAATATTCTTTTATTACATGGTATAATTTTTCTAAATTTGCTAAAGTGTTATAAGATACATCTGTTAATAATAAATTTAGTTGACTTTACCATACCAGCAATGAACAGCTTGCACGAGCAACCCCTTTTTCCTGCTAGCGGTTACACTACTGACAGCGCAATAATTCCGATTACAGTTTTAAATTTTTCTATATATTCTACGTAAATTATGCATTCGAAACGCATAAAATGGCATTGGATAGCAAGGAGATATATTGTCAGCAAAATTATTCATAACGGCATTAGAGTAATTGGGACTACAGAGCAGTAACAATGGACGGTGAAAAGTTTAAACATCTCCGTTTCGTAGATGACATTGTCCTTGTAACGATAATTTAGGAGAAGCCACAGATATGTTGAACAAATTGGACTTTGCATGTTCGAAGGTGGGCTTCAGAATAAATTTGACTAAAACTTTCAAATGGTACTCAATAAGAATCAGCAGGTATAACCAAACATGCGAAATCCAAAGACGAATTACTTTAGCGTGGGCAGTCTTTGGAAAACTGCGACACACACTTAGAGCCAACATACCATAAATATCAAAATTTGCAATGAAGTTTTGCATAAACATAGACACTTTCTCTGTCAAACTAACCTAAAATAAATATGAAAAATAGAAGAAAAATGGAAACTAATAAGTTTTGACGTAAAGAAAAAGAAAATCAAATTAATAATGGCAAATGTTAGCTAATTTTTATAATACAATCCTCACAAGGGTAAGCCTGTTAAAGATACAACTCCATTGTTCTAATGTAGTTTTTTATTTTAATTTTTAGTATGTTTTGAAAAAGAGTTAAACAAACTCGAAAGCTCAATACCCAATATATTCATATTATATGTATATATATATATATATATATATATATATATATAAATATATATATAATATATATATATAACAATTTATTGTGTTGGAATATCGGGTATGCGGTTTGTTATTATTAAAAAAAAACTCTTTTTTTTTAATCCTCTATATTTCGCTGATTTTTTGTCAGCTTCATCAGGAGACAAAGATTTAGAGTGGAAAGTATTTAAACAAGTTGTTGAACATAATTTGTTCAAAACAGTAAATCTTTGTCTCCTGATAAAGCTGACAAAAAATCAGCGAAATATAGAGGATTAAAAGAAAAAAGAGTTTTTTTAATAATAACAGACCGCATACCCGATATTCCAACACAATAAATTGTTATTTACGTTTCGGTCGATAATCTTACCAGTTTTGCTATATATATATATATATATATATATATATTATATATATATATATATATATATTAGAGGTTGTTGTTCCATGTCTTATGACAGATTCATCAGTATTGTCGAATTTCTCTTTAATAACACTTACTTCTCTTTTAATGGTAAATTCTATCAACAAACTTTCGGTACCCCTATGGGAGCAAACATTTCTCCTATCATTGCAACTTACGTTATGGATTATGTGTTAGACTCAGTCATTCCTTTACTATCCTTTCAAATTCCATTTATTAAAAAATATGTTGATGATATAATTTTGGCTATACCCAATGACAAGGTAGATGAACTATTAGACACCTTTAATAGTTATGACCCCTACATCCAGTTCACTATAGAGAGGGAAGATGGTAATTGTTCCGTCCCCTTTCTCGACATAAGGATAATTAGGGAAATCAACAACATTAAAATAGATTGGTATCAAAAACCGACACATTCTGGTAGATACCTTAACTACCACTCTTACCATAATAACTCTACCAAAGTCAACTTAATCAAACAGATGAAAAATACAGTAATTAAACTATCAGATCCATCATTTCATACAAAAAACCTACAAACCCTTCTAAAACTGTTTATTTCAAATTCTTATCCAACACCATTAGTAAATAAGATTTTGTTTAACACTATCCATAACGAAGATACTTCACCTTCCATCGTGACTAACAATGATGATCCTGATGTCTTAAGTAGGAACCCAGTCTCGGATACTCCTATCAATAAATATTTTTCATTACCCTATTTCAAAGATATCACTCCGGGGTTAACAAGGATTCTAAAAAGTTTTGAAAATAGCTTTTCTAATAATAATAATAACATTAAACTTAATGTGGCTTGTAGATCAGCCCTAACAATTAATAATCTTTATTCGAAGATAAAAGATAAGACTCCCATAGATAGGCTTAGTAATATTGTCTACAACATTCCATGCCTCTCTTGCAACAATTCCTACATCGGCCAAACATCTCAATTATTGAAATCACGTATTACACTACACAAAAGTGATTCTCGACTTCACCCTGACCGCTGTGCATTAGCCAAACATGTCCATTCCACTGGTCATCACATGGACTATACGAACACTACAATTCTCCACCGTGAGAGCAATAAATCTAAAAGAGAGTTCATTGAAATGTCTTATATTTTCCTTAACGATTTTTCCATCAATGTTAAGAGTGACATTAAGAATCTAAGCGATATATACCACTTCTTACTTAAATCAGATACCAAGAACAATACAACATCACAGATAACCAACTTGACTGATATATCTATTAACAACTAACCTACTTTAATAATAATTTTCATTAACAAAAAAAGATAACATTCCCTTGTTTTTCTTAGATACATCTCAATAAGATATTATTACAATAATACATGAACAATATACTAATTAAAAAAAAGAATTTCAATTAGAAATTCTAAACTAATATCTCCCCAGACTGGGATCTAACTTCATCGGTTTTACCAATGAACCTTAACGACATTCATATCAAAAGAACTACTTGTAATTGTTTCGGCGCTTGCGTTCTATGAAAACAGAAGCTCACATTCAAACTTTACAACAATTAAAAATTTAGTTATTGCCGACAATTCAAAGAATTACTTCCTTTAAATGTAGTTACATTGGGTTTTTCGATTGTCCTTGGGTAAACCTTTGCGTTTTAAGTTCAAAGCTACCATACATTTCCAACGTTCACAAATAAACTTTTTTGCACATAGTAACAAAAAAACACCACTATGTTGTTACTAGCTAAAGTTTTTTAACATCATAACTCGACATTTCTAAAATTTCACGGTAAGGTAAATGTTTTTTATTAGATAATATATGGTAGCTAATTATAATTTATTCTCTTTCAGCCCTGAAGAAGCCAAATTCTCTTTGGCGAAAACGTTAGGTGAAATAATTGATACACATAGAGTTTTTTTTGCAGATTTCCCCAATATTTAAGAGTTTACTATATGTATATATATAAATATATATATATATATATATATATATATATATATATATATATATATATATGTATATATATATATATATGTATATATATATGCATATATATACATATATATATATATATATATATATATATATATATATATATATATATATATATATATATACATATATACAAGGTGGTCCAGAATTATGTACATTAATTTGTAGAGCTCATAGTACGTCCAAAAATAAGGGTACTTCTTTATGTACACTTTTTTATAAAACTGAATAATAAAGGAGATACAACCCTTTAAAGGGGTGAATTGAAATTCTTATTTTTTAAATATCTTCCAAACGGTTTTGAATACGGAGTTCATATTTTGGGAGTGATTATAAGACATTAGGATAATTAATTTCATGTCACCACCCACCACATCCTATATTAATACAGGGTAGTTTTGGAGGGTAAGTGGGGGTTATTGCGTCACATGTTTTTTAATTTTTACATATTTTAAAAAATTATTTTAAAAATTGTTTCCTTACACTTTTCTACGCAAAAAAGGTGCTCTTGTAATATTTCGATAGATATCACCGTTTTCGATTTATTTAAACTCGAAGGTATACATGTATTTTATTGTAATCGTTACATTTCTTAATATTCATCAAGTATGCTTTGAAATTGACACTTGTGTTAGCAACAACACTTTAATCTCAAGTAGTCTATGAATTGTCAGTGAAGTTTAATAACAAATAAATTATTTTATCTACACTTTTATTGTACTCGACAGTGAAATTTGTTTAACACGTCTCTTTTGCTATATTTTTAAATTTGTTTTCCCGCAATATGGCACACTATTCAAATTCTGGCACACTTTCTAGACAATATTTTACATGATATTTTGGAAGATATTCCATTACAAATACGAAGAAACATGTTTTTCATGCATGATGGTGCTACACCACATTACACAAGAATTTGTAGAAGGTGGTTACATGAACATTTCCCTGATAGGTGTATAGGCCGGGGTGCGGATGCACCGATTCATTGGCCTGCTCGTAGTTGTAATCTTAATCCAATGGACTTTACAATATGGAGTTATTTTAAATCAAAAGTGTATAACACTCCAATTAATACAGTAAATTAGTTAAGAGACAAAATTGAACAAGTATTTGCCGATTTAGAAAACGATCCAGTAACATTTAATGGATTAATGCGTTCGCTAAATAAAAGAATTAGATTATGTATTCAACAAAATGGAGGACATTTTGAACAGTTGTTGTGAAATATTATTTTTGCCATTAATTAAATGTTAAGTATTAATTAAGTTTTCTACTAATTTGTAATATTATTGCTAACACAAATGTCAATTCCAAAGCATACTTGATGAATATTAAGAAATGTAACGGTTACAATAAAATACATGTATACCTTCGAGTTTAAATAAATCGAAAACGGTGATATCTATCGAAATATTCCAAGAGCACATTTTTTGCGTAGAAAAGTCCAAGAAAATAATTTTTAAAATATTGTTTTAAAATATGTAAAAATTAAAAAACATGTGACGCAATAACCCCCACTTACCCTCCAAAACTACCCTGTAATAATATAGGATGTGGTAAGTGGTGACATGAAATTAATTATCCTAATGTCTTATAATCACTCCCCAAATATGAACTCTGTATTTAAAACCGTTTGGAAGATATTTGAAAAAATAAGTATTTCAATTCACCCCTTTAAAGGGTTGTATCTCCCTTATTATTCAGTTTTATAAAAAAAGTGTACCTAAAGAAGTACCCTATTTTTGGATGTACTATGAGCTCTAGAAATTAATGTACATAATTCTGACCACCTTGTATATATATATATATATATACATATATATATATATATATATATATATATATATATATATATATATGTATGTATGTATTTATTTATATATACGTACATACGTACATACATAAATCTGATCAATATTGTGCAAAGTAAGCAAATCTATGCTAAGGGATCAGTTGGTAGTAAATATTAAACTCTCGTAAAGTGAAAACCTAATAAATGTTCTCTTATCCAAATCCCGTGAATGGAAGAGTGACTTACTCCAGTAACTGTAGATATTTTACGTGTACTTAGCTTAGACTAGATAGTGACTTGGCTTAAAATTTCATCTTCTATTCCTACTGAAATCAATTTAGAACGCCAGGTATCAAGTTTTGAGCGAAATATATCGCTTTCACCCAATCTCTCCTAGACAGATAAAAAAGTTTATGTTCTAGTTGTCTGTTCAGATATACTTGAGATGAATATCTCACAGGGTTACCTCTGTAACACAAAAATGTCTCTGTGTGTAAATACAAACTTAATTTCTAGATTGAAAAAATTGTTGTGTCGTGGTTTTAACTAGGTATAAAATCTACTAATAAAATATGAAACAATACTACAAATAGATATATAATATATATAAATATATATATATATATATATATATATATATATATTATATAATATAATATAATATATATATATATAATATATTATATATATGCCGGTTTAGAACGTCCTTCTCCGTTGTCCGACACCTAACTTCCATCCTCTTCTATCGTGGCAATCTTCCGTTGATAAGATTCCGTTCGCTCATTGACTTTTTTATGTTTTGCTGCCACTCTAGTTTGGGTCTTCCTCGCTTTCTATTCCCTATTGGGGTCCAGTTCAGTATTTTTTTGGGCCATCTAGTATTTTGCATTCGCTCTACGTGTCCGTACCAGGTAAGTTGTTTCTTTTCGATATCCGAATTATCGTACCTTCTATTCCCATTCGTTGTTTTATATGGTCATTCTTCATTCTTTCTCTTCGTGAGACTCGCATAGATCTTCTTATCGCGTTCATTTCGACTGCCTCTACCTTCTGTTTTTGTCTGTCTGGAATTCTCCATGTTTCCGCTCCATACAATAGGCTGCTCTTAACCATTGTCTCGTATATATTAAATTTTCTCCTTTTGTTATCTCCTTGCTCCACAAGATGCCATCCAGACATCCTATTATCTTTTTAGCTGTAACTATTCGTTTTTCTATCTCTTTCACATCTGTTTCGGTGTTGTCGAATGTGATACCTAAATATTCATATTCTTGACATTGCAGAATTTCTTGACCGTTGTCCAACTCCAAATTTTCGCTCTGAGAGCCTACACATAGATATTTCGTTTTATTTACGTTAACTGTCAAGCCCCATTCCTCATACTCTTCTATTAGCTTTCTAATCATATATTGCATGCCGTCTTTGTCATTGGCCACTATGACCTGATCATCTGCAAACTGAAGAGTAAACAGGTATCTGTCATCTATCTCTATACCCAGAGATACAAATAGATAGATACAAGTAGATATACAAATAGATACTTTATAATTTTAAAATAGCAGTGATTTTATTTATAAATTTATTATATTCAAAGCCAATTACCCAATATCTGTTTTTAACTTTGCAACCAAATTAATACAAAACATAAAATTTACAGTGCACCAACAGTAGCATTACAGGCTTCGGCATAAAAGTTACATTTGTAAAACTTAATCTCATTTTTCACTAAAGTTCTTGACGGTATTTCCCTCTTTATTTGTGTTTTCTGATTCTCTTTACATGTCCAAGTCACTCTAAATTCTAAATCTTTTGGATACATCTTGTCTTTCTCTTCTTCAACTTTCTATGGAGCTATGTAAGACTATCTTTTATCAATTGATTGTGCTTAGTGATTATTTTTGCTTACTTATGCGCTGAAGTACCCACCGTTGCCAACTTTTGGTACCCATGAAATTTTATTAAAATTCTATATAAAAATTATTTAAAAAGCATTTATTCTTCTTGTTTTTCTTATCATAGATCATACAACAATAAGTGAAGGGCGATACCCTAAAAGCAAACAATGAATACAAGAAATAAATGAACAAGAACAAGAAAGAACAAAGAATTGTATTTATGAAATACCTTGGGATTATGAATGAAATAATAAAAAAGTAAGAAATAAAAAGGATACCAAATGGAAGAAAAACAACTTCAAATCAAATTTACTATGCAGACGACGCAACACTACTCTCTCCAAGTAAAGATGATTTACAACGTATGCTGCAGCAATTTAATATAACCGCCAAAAACAGCAAATTTACTAAGATGTAAATTGGAGCTGGAAGGTCAGATAATAGAACAAGTGATGGAGTTTAAATATTTAGGCATCACATTATCTAGCTGCGGAAAGCTCAAAACTGAAGTGGAAGATCAAGTGAATAGAGCAAACAGAGCCGCAGGTTGCCGCACTGAAACAATATGGAGAAATAAAAATATCGGGAAAGAAACGAAAGGCAGAATTTACAAAACAGTCATCAGACCAATAACAACATACGCGGCAGAAACAAGACAAGACATAAAGAGGACAAAAAGGATGTTAGAAACAGCAGAGATGAAAACACTTAGAACAATTGATGGTAAGACACTATGGGACAGAGCTAGAAGTACAGATATACGACATATACGCAAGGTGGAGAACATCAAAAACTGGATAAGAAATAGAAGAGTAGAATGGAACGATCATATAAGCCGAATGACAACAAATAGAGTAGTAAAGACGGTAAGAGACGGTTCCCAATAGGAAGACCACGAAAACGATGGAACGACAACTTACTGGAGGACATTGAAAAACAGACAGAGTCATGTCTATATAAAAAGAAGAAGAAGAAGAAATATTTTGGGAATGCGATCCTTTTTATTTAGGTAAAACATCATTTCAGGCGCTTATTTATGTCGCTTCAAGCGATATTTTTGAGAGAACGGTTTTAAAGGTGCTAATAAAAATTTTTGTTTAAAATTGTCTCAGCTACATATATGAAAGTTGTGTATCAAATACAGAAGGGACTAATTATATTTACAGGCAAGGAAAGGCAAGTTTACAATACTTATATATATAATACTTTAAAAATTGTTATACAGATTGTTTCGAAATCTGACAAATACTATAAACTTAGAAAAGTTAAATTCTAAATATCAAAAACAATAACAAAATAATTCTTTTGTATGGACAATCTTTGAAAAGCGCTGAATAAACCTATAGAAGTAACTAATGCCCTTCTTACCTTCTAGTTTTCCGTTATTTACTAAAAGGGAGTTATTTGACTTCTTAGATGAATTTCTAGATATCTGACTGTGGGACGGGGAGGAATCTGTGCTCTTTTTTCCGAGGACTTCGTGACAAGAATACGAAGTGTGCGTAACCGTTAACATAGGATGAACTGTTCCTGAAAAAGAGAAAACATGTTAAAATTAGGGTTTAATTCTTATATGGAGAACAATATATATGGTTAGTATTTTACATTTGTGTTTGATGGAGTGCATAGTGTGATGCGAGATAGTAATAGATTATTTAGTCATATAAATAAAGGAAATGGCGATCATGAAACAAAAAATGGAGAAAATGGAAATAACTATAGAAGTATGTCAGAAAAAAAGAGAAAACACAACTTAATATTGATAGGCTTACCTATAGATACATCAGATGAAGAGCAACTCAAAACCAATTAGAAAACATTAAAACCAAACAATTGGGGATAATAATAAAAATTAAATAGAGCAATAAATAAATAAATATTATAATGTGTGTCATTGAATTTAAAAAATTCTAAGAGATATTAAACGTACTAAAAGTCAACGGTAGTTTAACAAGATATAAACAACACCGAGTATGCATTGAATGTGACCTGACACTAAAATAGATAAATAGGACTAGAAAACTTAAGAACATAACTGCTAACGAGAAAGTAAATGGAAAAAAGAACACAAATTAGTTATGGATTCATAATTATATAAGGCACAAGATCGAAATGGAACCAAAAAGTAAACATGATACAAACAGTACAGTGTCACCTAGTTCAAAAAACTAGTGGAAGAAAGCACGTGGACGGAAGGGAAAATGGAAAAAGCTCAGAATAAAGACAGAAGTGAATATACAGATGATAATATAGACAGAAAGAATCCACTAAAGGACAACATAATGACAAATAAGGAGAAGGCCATTTTAAAAATGACAATATGGAATGTAGGAGGCATAAATGGAAAAGACATAGCACTGGGGAAAGAAATAGAAGATAAGAAGATTAAAGTAGAAGCTATAACAGAAACAAAATGAAAACAAGAGGAACCCCAATATTGAAAAACCGAAATTTAATGATATATATGTATATAAAAATAAGAGAGCCCAGGCGGAGCCCAAAGCATGCCTGGTAAAGAAAATATCATTATTAAAGAAATTGGATATATTTCAATGAGCGTATACTTAGAGTAGATAGAGATGGGCTCAAAGAAAGCAATTACAAAAAAATGAAAATGAGTTCTGGGACAAACTGCAAGAAGTAATAATTAATTGTAAGCAAAACGGCAATCAGAGGAGATATAAAAAGAAGTTTGATAGAGTGGAAAAAGAAGTAGAAAAATTGAACAGTGTTATGAGAGCATATGGAGAAAATATAACCAACAAAAATGGAAAACTATTACTAAAATTCTGTTTACACAATAACATCATGATCATAAATACATATTTCCAACATAAACAGATACATAAGATCACGAGAAAAGTTGTAAAGTTTGTTTAACAGAAAATGGTTGACTTCAATTAGTGCAATCAAAAATATTATTTTATTTATCTGACTCGTCCACTGTTAAGACGTTGTACCTCAGGTAAACCATTGTTAAATGAAACCGGGCCTTTTATACTATTATCGGTTAACCCAGCATGTTCATATTCGGTACTAATTGAAGTCAACCATTTACTGATAAACAAACTTTATCAAGAATTGAACAAACAATAATTGATTAATTGAGTATAGTCAATAATTATTTGTAACTATACTAGTGCACAAAAATAGAGAAAACTGGAGAAGAGACTTAAGGATGAAAAGAAGCTATGAAATACACAGTGACCACTATCTACTGGAAATTACATTTAACAGCAAAGGAATAGAAATAAAAATCACAGAAGACAAAAATAAGAAATACAAGAAAAATAATTCAAATACATACACTAAGGGAAGAAATTAGAGAAGAACAATGACAAAAAGGCAAAAATGACACAAATAGTAGAAGAGTAATGGGAAAATTTAGAAATGCTATGACAAATACAGCAAAACGAGTATGTGGGACCACAAGAAATAATACGAAAGAGAAAATGATATCATGGCGTAACGAGGTAAAAATCGAAATAAAAGAAAAGAAAAAAAAGAATACACATAAAACAAAACGCATTAAAAATATAAAATATACAAAATAAATAGAATAAAAGTTAAAAAAAATTGCCAAAAACGAGACTTGAAACAAATAAAAATGGAAGAAACAGTAAATAAAATGTAAAATTGTTTTATGTAACATTGAAAAACCTTCGAAAAACTAAAGAAAAATAAAAATCTGAAACAAATAATGACCAAAAATGGAACAATATTAACCAATGACAATCATATAATAAAAAGATAAAGATCCTCAAAAAATCTCAAAAAATTCATGTACTTCACATTTTTTTATTAACTTTAATTAAATATATCCAAAAATAAAGAATAATAAGTAATTTGTTTGTTTACATAACGTATAGGAGCTTCTTATAGAAGAGAATTCCTTATCTTTATTTAGCAAGCTGTAAATGTTTTTAATTTATTGTGAATAGTTTAATTAAAAAGTATGTAAAATAAAAGCAATAAAATAATACAACACAATCACAAGCAGTTGGTTTTGGTTAAACATTCAATCTGTCTGATAGATCATTTGGTTTAAAACGTTTCAGCCTACGCACTTTATTATTGTCATCGAATAACCTCTTCGCGAGTACATTGGGGTGCAGTTTTATCCGTTCACCGTATTTGACGCTGTAACTTATTGCAACTTCTTTTACCGAAGGCACTTCTAGAACTTTTTATTTAGAGGTGGGTGTAAGATACCATGGAGCATTTACTATAGACCTTAACAGTTTATTCTGGAAACGTTGGACGATTGCAAAATTAGAATTGCTAGCGGTTCCCTATAGCTAAATACCATAGGCCCATATGGACTTGAAGATCACCTTGTATATATGCAATTTGTTATCTAATGTTAATTTAGAGTTTCGACCAATCAACCAGTACTTACGTCAAGATGAATATCTAAGTATTTTGTATCGTTTGCTTTAATTAATTGCTTGCTATTTGTGATAGCTTTTTGTAGGAGTAGATTCCATGGCCAATATTGCGGTATCGACTAACAACTTCTGTTGGATGGGGGATGGGGGGTCCACGGTAAATATCAGAAATGAAATAGATCCTAGTACGCTTACTTGTGGAACACTTGCTTTCATAGGGTGGGATGTTAGGAGTGGAAAGAAAGGATAAGGTAATTGTTTCTTTATCGTATAAAGTGGGCCTTCATTTCAAACATTATTAAAGGCTTGACTGATGTCTAAGAAGGCTGCTGAGGGGTAGGATATACTTTCCAACGCGTAGGAGATTTCTTTTCATTATTCTGTGCATCTGCTCAATTGTCCCATGCTTTAGCCTGAAGCCGAATTGGTGGTAAGGAATAAGTTTAGTTTCTTTTCTAATCTTCAGCAAACTTATATGTCTATAGGGTTTTAGGTCTCCTGGTTTTTTTCCAGGTTTTGGTATCAGGATAATCTGAGAAATTTTTTATTGACTTGGAAACTAGCTTGTTTTGATAATGGCGTTAACAATGTGCTGCAGATATTTCTAACTTTTTAAAGTAAGTTCAGTTGCAACGAGGCTTCTAAGAAGTTATGAGTCTCTCTAAAATTTTTGTTGGGATTCTGAAAATGGGCGTTCGTTTGGTTCAAAAACTTTTACTAGGTGTTCAGCATGACTCCAGCTTTTTCTTTGTTATCTCTGGTCCATTTAAAACTGCATGTCTCTTATTAGAGGACAATATCGTTGTGATTATTTTAGCTTTTTTGTTGACTCCCAAAGTGAGTAGTCTGTATTTTCAGAGGCTGCAAGAGAACTTAGGTAAGTCTCGATACCTTTGTTTTTGATATTATTTAGTAACTTTGTCAGATATTTTATAGCTCTGTTTAGTTTTGCTTTATCGCTTGCTCATCCCGATATCTGCCATTTATTTCGTAGCTGCCTTTTCTCTACTTCAAATAGCGTCCTAAAATTAGCATATTTTTCTCGTCGTTACTGTCATCCTAGTTTCTAATTCAATTTTACAAATGTCAAACAGTTTAAATTTTTAATTCGCGACAAAATTTTAAAAACCTAACTATATTGTAAACATTAAAGACCTTCCAAATTAAAGAAGAACTACCAAAAAAAGAAGATAAGCATTAAACTTTTAAAATCTGTTGTTTCAATAATATTTTATAATAAGAAACTAGTCAGCGAACACTGAGACTCAGTTTTAAAATCCAATTAAATTACCTGTTTTTCCTCTGGTAGAACAGTCACTATCCGATCTATGATGACCCAGTAATTTTTCTCCAATGCCATGAATCTTCTCAACAAGCATTTCTCCATACGTTGCTGCTTTTTCTTCACTGTGTTTTGGAGGATCTCCAATTGAATTAACGTTTGGGGTTGAACCTGCAAGCAAAATATAACAAAAATTAGTAAGACTAATAGGTTTTATAGCTTGACATCTGTCAAAAAGATAGGATTTTATTATATCAATCATTCCTACTTCTAAACTGATATATTTTATAATACAGAATAACAAATTATGGTTAATTGTATCAATAGTTTTTAACTAGTCTAGAAAAATTAGAATTGATATGTTGTTTTGACCATAGGCTCCAAAATATCTTTGTTTAAAAGATATTTTGAATAAAATATTAATAAATATTTAATAAAGCAGGGAGACAGCTATGTATGGTTTTAAAATCGGACTGCATCGAAGGAATTATGTTGTCATTTTTTAAATGCAAATATTTCACCTCTAATTCAAATATACATATACAATGCTTTATCTATTTAGGAGTTAACATTACAAAGGACAACATTAACGATGCAGAGATTAGCAGAAAAATCATTCTAGCAAATAAGGCCCACTTTATGAACCAGATATTTAAATTACGAGACGTACATCAAAGCAATAAGATACAAGTCTATAAGACCATAATCAAACCGATAGCGAGCTATGCTTGTGGACATCTTAAAAAAAAGGTACTTAGATAAATACTAGGTCCTATAAATAAAAACAACAGTTAGAAAATCAGATACAATTATGAAATATATTATATATACAGTGGTGTTAAAAAGTCCTGCATTACCTAAGCGCCTTATAGTTTTTGAGGTTTAACACAAGTTTTTTGTATATTTGTAGCATTATTGGTATACTTACTAATGTTTTTTTAATTACTAGCTCAATATTTTACAGAAAAGATTAAAATAATCTGATCGAAGGGATTTCCCATAGTCCGAGAAAATTATGAGGTGATTATAAAGTCGTTCAAGTACTATTAAATTGAATTTTAATAATAAATTTGCCACATATTTTGACTATATAAACACCGTAGTTACCCTAACACATTTATTCACTCTTTGATTTTTGACTAAAAGTTCAAAATGTTATCCCAGACCAAACAAACTAAATTATAGGACGAAAAGCGTTTTGAAAATATTTTTCACCATAAAGACGACAAATCTAGTGGCGAAATAGCATTGGCAGTAAACTGTAATAAATCTACAGCAATTACAGTCATTAAAAAGTGTGCTGAATAAGGAAAAATCGACGACAGACCGCGTAGTGGCCGACCAAAGAAAACTTCTGTTTGGGATGACACTGCGTTTAGAAGAACAAGTCTGGCAGACAGAAGCCTTAATTCCACCCAATTGACAAAGCTGTGGTCTGAATCTACAGGTGTAAGCGTGTGAACTTTCACTGTAAGAAAAAAACTGCTTAGTTTTGGACTTAGAGGATGTAAGGCACGGAAGAAACCACTGCTTTCAGGAAAGCACAGATTGCACCATTTGTAATGGGCCAAGGAATATCTAATCTGGACAGCAGAGCAGTGGCAGAGTGTACTGTTTAGTGATGAATCCACTTTCAATATTAATAATTATGCTGGAAATGCCTACGTCAGAAGATTTCCTGGTGAAGAATTTTCTTCAAAATGTGTTCTTCCCACAATTATACATCCAACCAATTTAAAAACTATTTAAATCTACATTCTTGTCGACATTCTCTCATGTCACATGTCACCTTCACATTTTCGTCGATACCATTCTCTCTCCTGTTGACGACAAGAATATAACTTTAAATAATTTTAAACTGTTTGTCCTTGTTTAGTGTAGTGTTTGTTTCAATTTTTATGTTTAATGTTATGTTTATTACACTCTGCGCTTGTTTGATAGCCCAAAACTGACGAAATGCCCCTGATGATGCTTTAGAAAAGTGAAAGTACTTTTGAAAGATTTTAATTAATAAAGTTGTGCTCGATATATGCCTTTAAGTTTATCAAAGTTCATTTATTCGAGCATTCAACCTTATATCAATTCCAAAAAAATGTAGAATGCAAGAATGCAGGGAAGAAAACCCATTGGAAGACCGAGAAAGCGATGGGATGATGATATGATAATGAAATTAAAAGTCCTAGAAACTGTTACCACTAATTACCATTCCCACTCAAACGTAAAGATTAAGTAACAATAACTCAATTATGATTAGGACATACTGTATTAAGCCACATCCACCTAAATTCCTCAATATAATCATAAGCAAAACTCTGACACGTTTAAAAAAAAGACTTCCTTAATTACTTGAACGGTACATCATGGTTGGATGAAGATCTGTTCCTGCCACTTCACACATCACACTGTTATATTAGAGTTATTTTATATATTTTCTACTATATTAAATGTTGTGATTCTTAATGATTTAACAAGAAAATAGCTAACGCTTTTTAAGGCTGACAGATTTATTTAACAATCGCGATTAACCGTTATAGATAAATAATATCGATTAATTTTTTCTACACGAGAAAACTATACGTATTGTCTAGTATAATTTCACTAAAAAAGCAGTAAAACAATTACTACAGATTTTATAAGCACACGGTTCAACTACCTGGCGAAAACTGACATTATTGGGCAAACTAAGAATTTCAAATTAAAATTTACGCAGCATATAGGACTAAAATTATTCGCAAAAATGTAACACACGAAAAAATAATACTTATCGATAATCTTATGGACAGCACGCACGAAGCCGACTAAGTAGCAGATATACATTTATAGCCAAACATAAACTAAATCTATAATATGAAAGTTGAGTGAAGAAAATCAATAAAAAATACCAAAAATGTGTTATATTTATTTGATAGAAAAATTCCTTGTTGCCGGTTACAACTCCAGATGAGAAACGAGGATGAATGGCTAGTAATGGAGTCATTAAACTGATACTGCCAATAAATGCCAAATAATACCTTAATATATAGATATACACTCGTAGATAATACTAGGAAATTCTACACAGGATAGGATGGGCGATGGCGAGTGCCCAGCTAGCACCTTTAATCTAGACCACCTTGGGTAAAGTACAGAAAAATCCCTGATCGTTCAGATTGAGGTTAGGCTTAGGAACAACAACCCTGCCTTGTAAAGAAATATGTGTTAAGAGAACTAAAAACCGGACATCGACCGTTATGGGTACGAGAGATTCCATTTGGATGCTTGAACGTAAGAAAATTGTATCCCGAGGAAGCGATTGGCTGTCTCATGTACAATCTATCTACCTATATGCGGAGGTTCTACAGCTTTTATCGTATCCCGCTCCAGTAAAGATCAATGAAATAAGTAACACCGAGTCAAAACAACATAACGAATTTTTACAAGTTAATACAAATTTTATTTAAAATTGATTTCGCGCGCGTAACTGACATTCAAAATCACCCGTCGCTTCAAGCGTTGTTTCTGAGAGAACGGTTTATTCTACACAAAAAGTGCCAATAAACATTTTTATTCAAAATTATCCCAGCTACATTTTTTTTACGACGTACATATTTTTGATAAAACGATTTTTTCCGTTGTTCCCCCCTACGAGGGGGCGTTTTAGGAGAAAGCTGGAGAGTAAGCTTGTTAGTACGATTTTTAGAGTTTCAGTGGTATTTTCGCCTCTGATGACTGGAGTATAACTGCGATCACGTCTTAGTGATCTTAGCTGCCAGTCTCAGAGCATGTATATCAAACGCCCGACAAATTACAACCAAACAATAAATAATTAAATACGACATTAATAAATTAAAAATTACCTTGTAAAGAGCGTTCAGATAGATCGTAAACTAACAGAATCTAGAAGTGTGACGTCCACTGAGCTTAACAACTTAGAATTTATAAAACTCTTAAAGCCAGCAGATAAAGTATTGGATAAGGTATTCGAAGGATAGCAAAACAATTAGGAGTACTTCGATAAGAAATGCAAACGACTAAACAAAAAAAATGACGCATATCCGAAAATGATAACAGACAAACTCGAAGCAATCTTGAAGAATACCAAATTAAAAGGAGAGAGGAAAAATTATATCGTAAACAAAAAAAGAGAGCAAATCAATAAAGAGTTTAAACAAATAAAGAATTTCAATAGAGAACACAAAAACAGAATGATTTTATCAAAAAAATGCTTTGCAGCTACAAGAAAACCAGATTGTGGTCAGAATGGAGCTCTATTGGACTAAAAACTAGAAAAACTCCAAAGGCGGCAAAAGCAGTTTCGTGCGCTACATAATGAAGATAATAGAGAAGGTAGAGACTCTACGGACCTCAACTGGGAGTAAGCTAAACTACATAATGCAATCCAGTACAGTCCAGAAATATTTAAATTTGGCAGTCAGACATTTAAGATACCCTGCCAGAAAAATGGAAAATAAGAATTGTATGACCTATACATAGTAAAGTAAACTGCTCGACTATTCTAACTTTGGCTGGATTTTCCTTCGCCGGGGAATCACTGGAAATAATATCCTAGCATGTAACTTTTTAACGTGTCTTTGATAGTTCACAAGAGGGTTCTGGGCATAGAGAAGATGACTTTGTTGTTTTGCCAACTTATTAGCGTCTACATTTCATGGCCCATATAAGGTGACCTTATCTTTTTCTGCCAATTTCTTAAGAGAATATTTATATCACCAAACCAGATTTGTCTCCAGAAGTAAATGACAAAAGTTTTAAAGTTTTTAAAATCGCTTGGGATTTTAAAAGAGTCTATATATCTGCCCTAGGGATATTCGCGAGCACTTTTCGTCTGAAAGAGTTAATGTGCTTCCAAAAGAATGAAATTCAGTCTAAAACTTATTCCCGATAGGCTCACTTTAGCTTTTTTAGATACATTTACACTAATGAATAATGTAAAACAAATTTCCTATTTTAGTCAAAGTTCTGTCAAAGTTTTTTGTCTACAGCTTATGAAAATATTACAATCCTTTGATAAATATACCACAGACCAACAGAAACACAAATGGCTTATTTTTCTGGTCTAACTCAAATCTTCTACGGTGGTGGGCGAGAAGAATGATCCTACTTAGGACAGTGACAGAGCTATACTTGGATCTAGACTTGGTTAGTATATAGAACTAGGTGGTGTGTAGTAGTTATAGAATACTTGCCATAGAGAACAGTTAGTGTTCATGAATAGAAACTTTTGTCTATATTTTCTCTAATTCAGATTCGTTGGATCTCACAAAATGAGTATTATGTATGATTACGAATGAATGACTATGATTTGGCGAAAGAATAAAGATCAAATAAGGATTTGCTATTTTTGAATACTGAAAAAATCACGATATAACAAGGAAAATGAAAATTTCTGGCCGTTATATTAATTTGATGCAACATACGTTGGACCTAAGGTATATAATTTCCATAAAGAGAAGGGGCGTTTTTGAAATTGTTTCGAAGTGATGGTATATTTGTGAACTGTCACAACTTAGATGTTTTAATATAAGAGTTGGAAACTTTAGCCCAGAAAGTAACTAACTGTTTATCGATAGCTCGACTACTTGACTCATTTGAGTAAAAAATATAAATATATAAATATATAAAATATAGTCATTGCATGCAGCTAAATTGGCTACCAAGACCTAAACACTTTCACTTTCACATTGGCTACACTTTCACCTTTATAAACAAAAATGGTGCCATAAAGCAATTCGTTAGAGCTTTGCCTACTGAATGTGAAAAAGACTGTCTAAAATATCTAATTTATGTGTTTCCTAGCCTGTCGTTTGAAGAGACAAGGGTCGGAGATTTTGCCAATCCACAAATTTGTTAAAGATAAGTATTTCATCAGAAAAATGTCTTCTTCTTCTTCTTCGGCCTTTCCCATTATGAGTTAGCAGCATGATATTTTCTACCCAGATTTTAAGGTCATTATTGCACGGAATTCATACATACAAGGTGTATATGATGGTTGAATATCATATTGGAGAATCAAGCAAGAATGTCCAAATGTATTTGGACATGCTAAAACGCATATCAGAACCTCTTTACTCAGAATGTCTTGAACGCAGTATTGTTGAGCTTCTAATGAGTTTAAAGCTTTTTCCGCACAGTCTTAAGGAGATCAAAAGAAATTACAAACAAATTGTACATTTAAGAAATCGAAAATTCCTTGAAAGATCATTCAGACACAATAAATTACATCTGTGTCGTACTTCGCTTTTTCGGGGATAATTTCTACCGCAGTTTTAAACGAAACATCAAATCAGAATTGATTTTTTTTAAATAAAGCCCAATGATGCAACACTTAATGAATTTTCATATAGTATATATCTATATTCATATACACTACTATACTTTATATACTAGTACATATACTATATTTTCATATAGTATATGTAATTTAGTTAATCTTAGTTAATGTTTAGAACTTTAAGCAATGCCGTAAAGTAAATATCTTTTCTATATTAAAGTCTGTAGATGATTTGATATCGATTTTTTTTGAAAACAATATATAAAAGGGTAAATTCGAAAAAATGATGATATATTTCAACGAATCTTCAAAACAATCAACTAAGAGGAAACCATAAAAGATGACATAAAACACTGCCTAAAAAATAGAAACGCGACAGGAATCAATAAAATTTCAATAAAGTTAACATTACGGCATACTGATCAGAGTGATATAACGTTTTTTATTTTCGATTTACTATATTTTTACGATATACTAAACATATATTTTATTCGTACCGTCATGTGAGTGTTATACTAAACATAGGTCCTTAACGATATTTCCAAAAGTAGCAAATAATATTATAAGAGCGTAAATAAATGAAATGGAAAATGTGAAATTATGTATTTAAATGAAATATCGAAATATGTATTAAAATACACACATTAAAATAATCTAGGGAAAAAACAAAATGCGAGATTATAGAAGGATTTCAAATAATTTATTTTAAACATTTTTAATAAAAAGTTATAAACAAGTGTCTCTAATATAAAATAAACATTTTTTCTTAAAATTGTCGAAATAACTCCATAAGTCAAAAGATGATAACAAAAAAAAAATTAAAACTAATTTGTTGCCCATCAACTCCCAACAAAGTAGTCTTTCAGTTAAGTTAATAAAGTGTATGACCTTCACGGTTGTTGATTACTGTCTTATATTTGTAAGGAAAACTCATGATCAAATGGTCAATGTCTTGCTGCGGTATTCTATTAACTCCATTGAAAGGCCCTTAACAGTTGCTGTCTTGTATTGAAAACAATATTTTGTTGTAAAATGCGTCTGCACGATATGCCCCATACATGCTCAATTGCGTTTAAATCTGACGATTCTGCAGGCCATTGTAAAATTTCAATTTCATTATTTTACAG